AAGGCTGGTATTCATTTTATTGTCATGATTGTTCTAAAAAGGTTACTAAAAGTGATGTTGATGTTAATGCTAGCCCTTTTCACTGTGACGGTTGTGGATTAGACCATTCACTCTCTTAGCACTCTCAGGAGGGTAAAAGACCATTTTACCCCTCTCATGGCGCAAATACCCTAAAGTTGACCAAACCCTAAAAGTCAAAAAAAGTCAACCCTCCGAGTTACGCTGCGCGTACTGGGATTACGCCCACCGTAAATCCCGGTTCAACCATATTGAGTATTTTGGTCTTAAACGGTTAAGACAAGAACTCATATTCCATATATGACTTCTCTAAAGGTCCTTACTCCATAAAGTTGAAACCTTTAATCCTTGCATGGTTGTAAAGATCATCTATCACTCAAAACACCTTTCCTCTTTCCATATTAAGACCCTAACTCATGCATGACTCAATATCCACGACCAAGATTGGATTTTTATGAATCCTCAACACATATTACACTGGGGAAGGTCAGAACTAGGCTTATGGAGACTCTTTGCACACAAAGTCTCCACCTTTGAACCAAAAACCCTAAAATTGGTCCAAAAAGCAAAACTCTTGAAGGACAAGGAAACCTTTGAGCTTTTTACCTCAATATCATGTTGGCGTAATACTTATCGATATTATCCAAATATTTTGATAGATCCTATAGTGGAAAAATTATCATCTAATGTAATATTATAATCTCGTCTACAGATTAAAACATTCGTGTAATTTATATCTATTTTTATATTTCATAATATTATATTTTATATATTTATTCGTTTTCTGTATGTAGTTGGAGTTTCGATGGTCAGTGGACAGGAAAGATGTAAAGATGTTTTATATGAATTGAAGGCCAATGTAAGTCATCTGATTGCCAAGAAAAATGTACTATAAACCAATATCGTAGGAGAGTGTTGGCGTTCGTCCGGAAATGGTGTTCCTTATTGTTTGTGTAATTTCCTTTGTAGTTAAACTTAAAGGTTTAAGGTTCCATATAAGAAAAATTGGAATCATATTTAATAGCGTATCTATGATGTTATCCATATTTTCAATATAATAAGTGGATTTCTCTTAAATTGTTGTGATGATAAATTTGCTAGTTATTATAAAAATCAACATGTTATCCTGTTATTCTAAAATTTTATATAGCATTAAAATTTTCGGTAAGAAAAAGACCTTCAACATTTTATAAAGAATTAAATCATCCGAATTTTTTTATTCATGGTCTTTATATGTAATATCTTGATATCATCTTAATACTATTTTATAAAATAAAATACAAAATAATAGTAACAGGGAAGGCACACATCATGAATTATTTTGTGCGAGTGTATTACACCACTTTTTGGACGTACTCGTACTGATAGGGAATGGGTTATTTCTTCATGAAATAATGTTCCTTTAGATCCGTCCCATTATAGAATTAGAGTTATCGTTTGGAGCTGAGAAGTTCTATTTGATTACAAAGCTCCATTTTGGTTGGAATCTCAAAACAAAATAATAAACATATATTACAAAAGTTCCATGATTCCATCGAAGTTTCGGCAACGCATATTCTCGAAACAAACATCTAATTCGTAAGCGTACCAGATTAGAATACTTTAAAATTTCAATAACAGGTTTCACAATATTTCTGAAGAATGTGTCGAGAGAGTGTGTCTACTATAAATTCTTTGTACGAGGTTTTTAGGTTGAGAAGTAAACAATCATATATCCAACTAAAATGGCTAACGTTGGTCGATAACCTGAAAGATTGAAATATATATAACTGTATTATATTCTTTAATTTTATTTTGATTAATAGTTGAAATTTAATTTACAATCTAATATTAAGTTCATACAAGGTAGTTATTTACGAGATCATAGCTACAAAGAACTTAATACGACGTGGGATAAAACCGATTAATATCTCAAATTAAATAATACGAAAAACAATTTATATACTTGGTATCAAGATTTATGATTTCGTTTAAAGTATAGTAAACCATTTGCATTTTATATTATTTTAATTAATATTAATATTTAAATAATAAAAAAGGTTCACCTACATGAGTTTCCGAAAGAATGCTACTAAGGTATGGTGTAGTATGGTAAATCAATTGCATTTTATACTACTAAGGTTCGCCCTCACGCGTTGCGGAAAGAATGTAGTTACAAAATTTTGAACATAAATTTAAAATTAATCAGTCATGCGGAAATTATACTACTTTCCAAGTTTAATTATAAAAAGTAAAACTTACTGAACAAGCAAGTGAGATTAAAAAGATTTCAAATCGATCATCAACATTTGTACGGATGTACGTCTTATGCTCTTTCAGGTTGTAGAAATAAACAAATAGTTTGATTAATGAAGCTTCTTAGGTGCCATTTACTAGTGTTAGGGCATGTTGTTTCGCTCTCAATGCTTTTGTGACAGCTATACAATTTAAATTAAAACTAGTATTTAAGTCATCTTAAGGGTAGCAGTGAAGGACTCGTTTTCAATTAATAAAAATAAAAACTATAAAAAGAAAGTAGCACAAGGGACCCAATCGTAACTTTAATTCACAATGTAATTCTTTTGCAATTGATATTTCCAACGTGATTCACAGATGTCAACAATCCACGTTTAACACACAGTGACGATTATACCATATTAATTGAACTATAATTTTATCAAAATAAAGTTTCGATCCAAACAACTATACACGACGGAGTTGGACAAAAATAAGGTTTGAAAATGAATCTTAAGGTTATTAATAAAAAAGAAAAAAATAAAAAAAAAATTATGTAAGAGATAAAAAATGTAACGTTAAAATATAGTAGGAGACTAAAATCGTAATTTATAAAATACCAATAATTTAACTTTGAAATTGTGAAGGTTGAAAAATCAAAAAAAAAAAAATTAGAGAAAAAAATATGAATGTAAAAATCTATCATGACCAGAGACAAAATTACTATTTATAGATAAAAAAGCTTTGTAACATTTGTAATGCCATTTGGTTTGATCATTTTTATCTTGGAAATAGAAAATTCAAGTGAATATAAAATCTATGGCAGAATATATATATATATATATATATATATATATATATATATATATATATATATATATATATATATAATGGTTCCGCCCATAGATTTTCTATTCATTTGGATTTTCTATTCAACTTGAAAGTTATTATTGATAATATTATTTTACTTTTTATTTCTAGATCAACCTCAAGTTGACAATCGTTTATTTGGATCTAGATTGCATATAAATAATGATATGCCTCACATTTTAGAGTTCAAATCAAAGTATGTTTTCTTAATAATAATGAAGCCTGTAATGTTTTATGTTTTTATATGATGACAAGTGTAATTATTACATTAAATTAGTTATTTACCATACTTAAGACATTTAGCTTATTAAATCATTACTTTTATTTTTTAACCTCATTTTTTTGTATATGTAGTCTTAATGCTTTGGATAAGAATGTTGAGTCTTCTAGCCGTACATCGCAACTCAAGATACTGTTGTGGCCAATCCAGAGGATTATTACCTCTATTTTCAAATAAAAAACATTGATAAGATTCATGATTTGAACGAGGTTTAGTTAACATTTTTATATAAGAGTTTCTACATTCTATTATTCTTTTGAATTTCTATGTACCATTCATATAAAATAGGATTTTAATATGATTCATTTCAAACAATATATGAAACTGGAAGTTGGTTTAACCATCATCGCTACTATCATCGGTTTTGATATGGATGAAGGCTGGCTGGTATTCATTTTATTGTCGTGATTGTTCTAAAAAGGTTACTAAAAGTGATGCTGATGTTGATGCTGACCCTTTTCATTGTGATGGTTGTGGATTAGTCTTTGATGTATATGGAAAGTAAGTAATTATTAGCTATTCGACTATGGATGCATTTAACTTTTCTCATATATTTCATTGTGTATGTCAAGATAAATATAAGTACTATGTTATAATTTTTAGGATTAGAATAATAGTTCGTGTGCAAGATGAAACTGGGTCTTCTTTGTTAAAGATTTTATTCATCATGGAAACCAATGGTTGATGGAAAAAATAGCTAAGGTTTGACAATATATCTACATTATTTAAATAATTGATATATATATGGTTTTACTTCATTAACTTTTCAACTATTTCGTTGTAATGTAAATTAGGATCAAGGATGCCAACAGATACGTGATGAGTTCAAAATCCTTCTAAATAAGAAGTTTGTCTTCAAAGTTTCTTTAAATATTATTAAAAGAGAACCTTAAATTATCAAATTAAGAAATTAGGGTCATTCATTGCATTTCAATCGTATATTTTACACCCTTAGATCATTTGCTGACATCATCCTTACACTCAAAAACCTGTTGCCTAATGTTGCCTTTCGTTCGTCATTTACTCTCTCTGTCTCTTCTTCCGATCTAACATTAAGAAAAAGGTAAACCATTCGCTTCTACTAAAATCGGCCAAGATGACACATCTTGTGATCTCCACCGTCTTTGTACACTTCTTATAATCTCACTGTTGCTTTCCTCTCCACCGCCTACAAGAATATGATAGAATACCCGACACTATTCAATTAACAGGTAGATTTCAGGGCTTTCTCTTTCTGATTTTAGGGTTTTCACTTCCATCTTTCTTTTTCAACTGTCAACTTAAAATTGACCAGCAATTGTCATCTTGAAAAGTGTTTTTTGCATATTTTTTTGAGTAATTAATAGTGAATTTTTGTTCGGTTTTGAAGGTAAATAGAACGTCTGTATTCAATTCAATTTTCTTCTTCCGTAATTTGATCTCCTTATGTAGGAAGTTTAATGCGTGTGATTGATCTTAAATACCAGATCATGATAGTTGGGCGTTTTTTTGCATTTTTCATTGCTTTGTCAACGCTTTTGTTCTAAATTTATTCATACGTTTCTGAGATTTATCTCAATTCTTTCATTTATACATACCTTTTTTCCCATGAACTTATCGTATTCCTATACTCCATTCCATGGATGCTCGTACTCATGTTTTTTCTTCTCTTTGCTATCAAACAATTGTTGAAACTAAAGACAGATCCATATTTGTTGCTTCAGCTTTTTCTGGCCACCAGCAAGGTTAGATAAGATCCACTGCTAATCAATTTTTTTTTATTATTTAGTTACTTATTGATCCTCTTATATATCGTCATCTTGTTATAACTACTATAACTTGCTTTAGTGCACAACAACTTCTTGACAAAAGTTGTTGATAATTGTCAAACAGCTATACATGATAGATACCACAAATTCTTGATAAAAGCTGTTGAAGAAGCTTATAAAGGAGTAGATAATGGAGATGGAGGCCTATTTGGTGCAGTTGTTGTTTGCAAATATGAGATTGTTGTGAGTTGTCATAACATGGTTTTAAAACACCCAGATCCAACTGGTCATGCTGAAGTTACAACAATAAAAGAGGTTAGACTCATTTTTACCTATAAATAATAATAAATTACCATTATGCCTTCCTTCTGTCTAATGAATAAAAAATGACTGTCTGTTTGTGAATTTAGTCTTTTTTTATCATTGCTAGATAGTTTTTTTACTAATTGTTATTTTTACATCATGTATTTCAGGCATGTAAAACACTCAACCAAGTTGAGCTCTCTGATTGCGAGATTTATGCCTCTTATGAACCATGTCCTATGTGCTTAGGTTATAAGGAATGGTGTATATGTTTGCCATGGAAACTGCAATTTCACCCAGGCTATCTTATCACATAAGTCGAATTGACATCGAGTACAGTATAGCAATGATCAAGAATTACGCCTTGATGCATCATGCATTTAGTTGTCATCTTTCTTTTTTGAATAAACAAAATCCAATTTTCAATAGATTTCACCGGTTTTACACTTCTTGGATTTTAATATTCTTTTAAAATTTATATTAAGGAAAATAGCCCTAACACAGTGAAACAATTTCCACATCAGCATCTTATGTTTTTTCACACCACTAACTTAGTTACTGGTGCATGTTTCTCCATATGGAGTTTTACAACTCGTGTCATTAAAACACATATGTATGCTTTCATTCTTTCATGTCATGTTAATTTCTTCCAGCTTGCACTTTATTATACACTTTGATCTAATGATCTCATGTTTTTCCATTTACTTGTGACTATAGATATGTTGTGTTTCCAAGGATTATTCTTCTGTCTTGAAGCAACTTCATTGATCCTCCATAATTTATGCATTTATCACATTAGTCCACCAGGACACAATGTCCGTGAACGTGCCAAATCATATTTACTTTCTTTATATTTATATTTAATTTTCTGAATTGTATTATTAACGTTAAAATTCTCTATTTTTATGGGTTTATATAAGAGTTGTTACGGCTAGAGCAACAACCATCTATTCAGATGATCCCATACTCTCAGTGGAGGATCTTTGTGATCAGTTTCTATAGGTCCTCAATTATTTTTGGTAAAAATACACCACACATATATATATATATATATATATATATATATATATATATATATATATATATTAAATTCTTTATTCTTATATAACTTTTGTATTCTAGTTATTTAAGGATTCGTTGGTTGTCCTGAAGCAGCTTCATTGATCCTCCATAATTTCTGCATTTATCACATCAGTCCAACAGGACACGAGGTCCGTGAACGTGCCAACTCATATTTCCTTTCTTTATATTTATATTTAATTTTATGAGTTATATTATTAACGTTAAAATTCTCTATTTTGAGGGGTTTGTATAAGAGTTGTTGCAGCTAGGAGCAGCAACCATCAGTTCAGATGATCCCATACTCTTAGTGGAGGATCTTTGCGATCAGATTCTACATGTCCTCAATCATTTTCGGTAAAGCATCCACCATATATATATATATATATATATATATATATATATATATATATATATATATATATATATATATATATATATATATTAAATTCTTTGTTTTTATATAACTTTTTGTATTCTAGTTATTTAAGGCTTGGTTGGTTGTCTTGAAGCAACTTCATTGATCCTCCATAATTTCTGCATTTATCACATCAGTCCACTTGGACACGAGGTTCGTTAACGTGCCAACTCATATTTACTTTCTTTATATTTATATTTATTTTTCTGATTTATATTATTAACGTTAAAATTCTCTATTTTGAGGTGTTTGCATAAGAGTTGTTATAGCTAGGAGCAGCAAACTATGTGAGTCATGCTACTTAATCAATAATTATGATGATACTTTTTGTTTTTTTAATGTAAAATATGCATATATCAATTTCTCAATCATAGTAGTATGTGCCATCAAGATCAAATATGTTAATTTATTAAACTTGCATCATGTGTTGTACGCATTAGATATTCCATCTCCCCCCTTTACTTTTTCCCGGGAAGCAACTTATCAGGTAATCACTTTATGTAGTTGGATTTGTGAGACCAAAAGGACCAAATATTGAATTCGAAATTTATATGAACTATTTTGTTTTGTCATATATATATATATATATATATATATATATATATATATATATATATATATATATATATATATATATATATATATATATATATACTTATTAAAATAGTTTAATACATATCGATTGCTAGCCCTTTCTGGATGGCAAAACCAAATCTTTTGAAAACAACATTTGTGGATCTAGGAGATATGACATCAGAATGCATGATCCGTTGGACTCTTTTGAGGTGATCCACCGCCTCTGGTGCGAGAAAACCAAATGTATCGAATGCAAGAGTTACAAACACATGTTGATTTTCTATACATGCATTCTCGTGTTTTACCACTTTGCACGCAGTGGCTTTCAAAGTGGCACGATCTGCTGTGAAACCCCTGCTCCCTAAACCAACGAGAGGAGAGACCCCAGTAAGATCAACGCACGCATGCTTCCTTCCTATCCATCCAAAAATCAAAATGTCAGCCGGTCTAAGTGTGGAACTTCCATCCTGCGGGTCCGTCAAAAAGTTCATTGATGCTTTTTTCTTCGCAGAAATACCACCACACCGACAAGAATCAAAGTGAACATACTGAACCACATCATATCTGTACTTGAAACCAGGGAGCTCTCTACAATGAACCGCATGTTCCCCAAAGGTATCCAAACATGCCTTGCGGCAAACTGGGCATATCTCGTCAATTGAGAATATGGGAATCATGAGGCGGTAACGAAGGATAGTTCGGTACTCCACAGGAGACATGTGATGGCCAAGACCATCAATAAGGATAGTTAGCAGAAAATCCTGAGCATGAGGTACATGCAGACACTCAAAGACTACTTTCTATTTGACAGTCATGTCGAAGTCGACTTCCATATCTTTGACGATTTTGCTAAAAAGGGCACACACCAATGATTTTTGGGATTTAGGGGGGAGGGAGGTGTCCTTATTAGTGAAACCACTACAGTTAAATCCCAGAATAGTATTGCGAAGACGAGTCATAACACATAGGTAATCCAAGTCCATACCACATACGCCACTTTCACGTAAGATGTGGCCTTGTAATGCCCAAGATTGGGCCCTCTAGGCTACAAATGCATTGGAGAAAACCTTGTATTCCGAGTACAAACCCAAACCACCGAAACGAATAGGTAAGGAAGCCAGCCGCTACTGAATATCTCCAAAGAAGGGGCCTCCACATACCACCATATCCTCGATAGACCTGCACAATCCTTTGTCAAAGAACAAAGCTTCCTCTTCCATGTGAACCGACTGGCAAGTCCTTAAACCAAAGAAAAGTTTTGCAATACCTATACATGATCAAAGCAAAGGAGCTCACTCTACGGGTCACATATGGTGGAAGAAGGCCCATCAAATTAACAACATTGACTGCTCTCTTCATGCCCAACCCACTAATAAACCCCACGTCTCTGCTAACAGCCCCCCCCCCCCCCCCCTAAAGAGCTTCACCCCTAAAGAAGGTCTCATTATATTTGTTGGTAATAAATCGGCACGAAGCTTCCTACCATCACAGGAGGGCCAAAAAATCTCCATTTTCTTGATGTTCAACTCAACACCCAAGCCTGGACCATGCAACCGAATAATGTTCAACACTCTAGCCACCTCTTCTGAATCCCTAATGATAGTCCCATCATCTAGATACCAATCATGGAGAAGGAGCTTACAATTATCTATAATCTTGTGCACAAGCGGGTGAAAAACGAGGGAAAAAAGAAGAGGGCCCAAGGGGTCGCCTTGTTGCACCCCATTGGTAGACCATATATATTGGTCTCCGATATAAAGTCTTGTTGCTTGCTCGTAAGAGAAATTCACCTACAAAGAAATGGAAGGGCACATCTTCTTAACCTCGTGGAGCAATGCTGATCTATCCACCAAGGTAAAGGCATTCGAGAATCCATAGTCAACATTACAAGAGACCCATCAACATGGTGTTCACTCAACACCCTATTGGCACTATGTAATACAGCCGCAACACCGTCGAACACACCAACCCCAAACTGAAAATCATTAAGGTATTTGGCCATTTCTTTACCCACACCTTTGATGGTAACCTTGGAAACCAGATGTCTCCATAGAGTGCCTACTGCAATTGGACAGATCCCGTTGTCAGGTATAAGCAGAGGCGTGAGAGGATAATTTATTTTTTTCAAACATTCTTACACATCTTGTATCAATGTTGGTTTGGAAATATTAACACTCTAACCTCAAAAGCTAGAATGTTATCTTAATCAATGGTGCTTCAAGATTTTAGGTAATTTGTATCGAGTTACTTGACTGAAGTGTTACAGGTTTGTGGAAAGTGGAGACTAGATGCTCATTCTTGGATAAATAGGGGATCCACTATGTAGGATTCTGGATATGTGAATGTAGTTGTGGGGCTTCAGTTACTTCCTTGGATTATTTGATGTTCCGTTTTGATCCTTCTTTTCTCCTGATGTTTCAATACACCTGTGATTAAATACACATGGGATCTCATTGTTTATTCATTAAATTTAAAGATATGACAAGGGCAGGAATCTTTCAAGTAAATTATGCCCTTGTAAAGGTACTATTTTAAATTTTCATTGCTGTAGTTTCAGATCATTTATACTTACTTCTAAAAGCTACTATACTCAAACTGCAAAATGCAGGGCCTTTGTCCATATTAACAAACAAATTAAGTAGTTGGAATGAGTATTATGAATGGAGAGGCATTCATTTAGATTCTCCTATTGATTTGCTTCTTCACTGGGTAATGTAGTTCCATTGTGTACCATATAACGTATACTTCATAGAACATGTCTTTATTAGATGTAGTGTATATGGTTACATACTTATATAAATATATATATATATATATATATATGTGTGTGTGTGTGTGTGTGTGTTTTTTTTTCTAGCTATTAACCATATATCAAGCAATTCAAATTGCTTATGTGAAACAGTTGATCCCTAAAACTACTGATGAACTGTGCATACAATACTTAGGTTTTTTCATCACTTTTAGAACCACATTTAGCTTATTTATGTTAAAATATTATCCTTTTGTGGATTCTTGATTCTGATTAATGGGTTGGCTTTGTGAAGGGCCGGAAAAGGGAAGTTTATCAACTTGTTGTATTTGGGGAGTTGCATGCTTTACTTCATGGAGTCCGAGTGCATATAGATTTTTTTGGACCTGATATTCCACATGACAAGTCAGCATCACATGTTATATAGAGATTCAACTTATTGAGAAGAAAAAGAAAATGAGTAAAAAGAGTAAAACACATTGCCTTATTGTGCAATTATCCATTTTGGGCAAAAC